GCTCCTTGTTTGTACCATGGAACCAACCAGGATAAAACTAATTTAGAAATTATTTATTGTGTACTGTGATGGAGTTAAGTAGTAACCCTTTGATCTTTATGGAGTAGAGTGCCCGTAACAAAGGAATTCCATACTTGACAGTGATATACTTGGGTCTTAAAAGTCTTAGACTTAAACCCAATTACTTCAATATGGGGGAAATTTGACTAAGGTTGGATGGGAAAGGAGATTTAAGTAGTAGGCAACATTTTTTTTTAAATTTTCAACAAATATACATTCTGCCATGGTGATTTTCAAACCTGGAGTCTCCAGACATTACCTGGGTCTCAGGATTACTACATCAAGTGACAATATCACAGAGACGGTATCTAAGGAAAGGTTATTATATAGGTAGTAAATGAAAGTTTAATTCAGTTTTTACTGGTTTGGTGTTTCCCAAGGACAATTCCTTATCAGACATCATGTCTCATATCACAAGTATTCTAGGAGACAATGAGTAGGAGAGCACATGAGTAAAGCAGATTAAACCATCTGCTTAGCAAATACAGTATCTGGGGCAGGAGAAATATGCCATCAAATCTTCAAAACTGTGATTCGAGTTTATTGCCTTAAGTATCCCGATGAGTACGATAAGGGAATTTTTAGTACTTGTCATTGGATACCCACTTGAAATGGGCTAAAAGAAATTGCCTTATTGAGTTAGTCTATAGACATGAAGTCGGGCCAAGAAGAAGAGGATCTCCTTGGTGCAAAATGCCTGGGGTTAGTGGGACTGACCGTGGGACTGAGCTTCGGTGTCCTCAGAGTTCTCTTCATTGTCCAGACTGAGCAGTCAGACCTAACCATTTTCCCCTTCTGCCTCAGCTCGATGCTGCAGCAGGCAATGCTCCTTCCCTTCAGGAGGGAGTTTAAGTACCTTTCCAGACTCATGGCATTCTTTTCAATCTCAGGGATGTCCTGGGTCACATAAGACAGGAGAAGCTCATTCCTGAATTTTGTTTTACTGATGACTGCACTTTCCTGGCCTACCGTCGGTTTTGCAATGTATCATTCTGCATTTTACCAAGGCAGCACAATTCTTAAGCCAAAAAGTCAATTTAAGGAAAACTGAAGTCCCGCATCCCAACAAGGATACAGACCACTAAGCAGTATCATCAAGGGAACCAAGCTGAATGCTGTCAAACAATTTAACTATTTGGGCATCATCTTGTTTGATGTCAGCATGGACAAGGAAGTGGACAATAGATTTTCTGAAGCAAACAGTCAGCCAACAGAATCTACAAATAAATGTGGAGCAACCATAGCTTTACAGCACAGATTAAACTCAGAAATATGCAAAGACCCTCTATACACTGCTGGGTCCTGTTCTGCTGTTGTGTACACCTTCTAAAGTGCATCCTCCTGGGTTGCCTCTCAGCATCTCCAAGGTTCACTGGCAGGACTGCATCACAAACATTAAAGTCCTGGAAACAGCCAACATCACTAGCATCAAGGTCATCCATAGTGTATGGCGCTTAGCAGGGTACATTGCCTGAACAGACAAAGTGATATATAGTGACCTGGCTACTGGCAAATCTCAACAGTACCGTGTCACTTCAACTGGGAAAACTGGAGGCCAGTATCAGGCTAAAAATTGAAGTTTAACCAAGCCAGGCTACCTTAAGTAATCAATTGTTTTTAGGATTAATTTGTTTCTCAATTCTTAGGATCTTTGTGAGACCAATGGTTGAATCACATAAATGGGAGGTCAGTCAACTAGTGAGTGTACTACAGATAGTGAAGATGGAAAATGATGACACTTGAGGGTTCAAACCATAAGTCAAAGATTAAAAGTTCTTGGATTGAACCCCAGTGCTGAAATCTGCAAATAAGGATATGTTGAAAGGTTTGGATAGAAGGTTACATCCTCTTTCAAAGAGATCTGAAGGTGCCATAGCCAAATTGTTTATAAAACAGAATGTCAGTGTGTCAAGGCAAATATGTTTAGCTATGCATGAAACACATGCAGGAAATGCCACACCCATTAAACCAGACATTATAGACTCAATCCTGAGACAGGAAATTGAAGCCATATAGTATAATGATATCACTTAACTAAGTCAAAGTGGCTGGAATTCTCCATTCTTACTGGTACCAAACCCTGACTAATCACCAAGATTCTCCATTGATTACAGTAAAGTTAATGGTGTAAGCAATACTGATTCTTAACCAATTCCTCAACTTGAGTATTGTATTAATAGAGTTGGACATGCTTACTTTGTTAACAAGATCAATTTGCCCAAAGGTGTTTTTTTTTGGCAAGTTCCACTAATAAACCAAGTCAAAGAAATCTCTGAATTTGTAACCAAGGGCACCTGTACCAATGTAGGGTGATACAATTTGGAATGAAGAACATTGTTACAAGATGATGATAATGGTGTAGAGAATGTAATACATATCAAAGAAAATACTCCACAACTAAGAAGCAAATGTCAAGTCCTGGTAGACTGCCAACAGTTGGAATAAATTTTCAAATAATCAAAAAGAAATATTAAATTGATCATAATTCACTGGTCTTTTAGGAGCAGCTCTGTGCAAAGAGTTCAGTTTTGTTCAAGTTTGATGTTGCAGCCCTAAGTGAGCTTGTTGCCAGGAAAAACAGTGCAATTTCTACTGCTTCTTTCAAGAGTTTAAAGAAGTGCAGTAATTAGGAAGGCAGACTTGAGTTACAGTAATTCTATAATGTTGAATTCTACTCATCACAATTCTTAATTACCTATTTTTGCTTTAGTTAATCCTTTAGAATTAATAAATGTTCGTACATTGCAGATATGACAAAGTTATGTATAGTATGTAATAAACTAGTTGTTAAAATGTTTAGGATGATAAGAAATTGCTATATTTAAAAACTTCTTTAAAGAACTGTTTACGATGGTAAAGCTTTATTTTACCTAAGGGAAGAAAAGTGTGATAGAATAGGTGGTTTCAAAGCTTCTATTTCTGAGATACACCCTCATTGAAAAGGGGAATCAAAAATAGAAACTGACCTTCGCAGTTTCTAAGGAAACCAAGACCGAAACTGTGATTCGTGTTCTATAAGGGCTTTGGGACCTTGGAGCAATTATAATGTGTTAGAGCTGCTCCCCGCAAAACACAAATAGAACAGTGTGGAGGAGGTATCTGGATTTGAAGAGAGTAGCACATGTGGATAATAGTCTGTTAACAATGTAACAGACCTGATATCTCTCAGATTACTATGTAGAGCAATAACAAGCAATAGAGTTCTACAGAAGCCTAAGCTTGAAGATAGTCCATGAGCTTGTCTTCTCCTCAACCTGTCTCTTTAACTCAAACTCTCAGATCCTAAATCCAAACAACTAAAGAACTGGAAACCAAAACTTCCTGTTAAATCTAAACAAAAGGTGACAGAGGTAACAGGGTTCGGTAAGTAATTATAGAGTCATACAGCAGGGAAACAGAACCTTCGGTCCAACTAGTTCACGCCGACCATTTCCCAAACTTAACTAGTCCCACCTGCCTGCATTTGGCCCGTATCCCTCCAAACTTTTCTCATTCGTGTGTTATCCAAATGTCTTTTAAATGTTGCAACTGTACCTACCTGCATCCACCACTTCCTCAGGCAGTTCATTCCACACGCTAACTACTCTGTGTAAAACAGTTGCCCCTCATGTTCTTTTTAAATTTTCTCTCACGTTAAAAATATGCTCCCTAGTTTTGAACACCCTCACCTTAGATAAAAGACCTATTTTTAGGGTCTTTTTACCTTATCTATCCCCTTCATGATTTTATAAACTTCTATAAGGTCACCTCCTACACTCCAGTCAAAAAGGTCCCAGCCTATTTTTATAATTCAAACCCTCCATACCCGGCAACACCCTGGTAAACACTTCCTGAACCCTCTCCAGTTTAATAATATCCTTTCTATAATAAGGCCATCAGAACTGCTGACAGTACTCCAGAAGTGGCTTCACCAACGTCCTGTACAACCTCAACATAATGTCCTAACTCCTACACTCAAAGGTCTAAGCGACAAAGGAAAGCATGCTAAACGCCTTCTTAACCACCTTGTCTACCTGTGACGCAAATTTCAAAAAATTATGTATCTGAACCCCTAGGTCTCTCTGGTCCACAACAGCATTAATCGTATAAGTCCTGCCCCTGTTTGTTTTACCAAAATGCAATACCTCGCATTTATCCAAATTAAATTCCATCTGCAACTTCTCAGCCCATTGACCCAATTGATCAAGATCTCTTCGTAATCTGAGATAACCTTCTTCACTTTCCAAATATGTTCAGTAGTACAGTACAGGCAGGCTGAAGAAGACAGAATGTTAGATCCAGAAACTGAGAATCAGTAAAGGTATCATTGCTGTAACTGTTTCTGTTATTTCAAGGTATCATTGGTGGACCCTGCATGTACTAGTTCACATAATTTCCCCTTTGTTCTCAATTGACATTCAAATCCTGCCTAGAGAAAATACTGGAATAAATTGATTTGAGAAAACAAATCCTGTCTGAATAACTGTGCCTGACTTGTTTTTGCCTATGAACCTGAAACAATCCAGCCAATTTGCCACAGATTATTGTGTTCTCCTGAGGACACCTTTCTTTATTCCACATCTCCCACCACACATCCCCCGCCCCCATCACAGCTACTTTCGCCCTTACTCCCAATCTCATTCCCACTCCCATCCTCTCCTCATAATGCATCTTGGAAAATGAAGAATTGAACATTTAAATGTAAAAGGAATGTGAGAGTTAAATTAAGCTTACATCTGTACACAATTTTAACATAATTCTAAAATCTAGTCAGACAAAATTTGACATTAATTCACAAAAATTAAAAATTTACCAAAAGTCTGGTGCATGTTTTGAGAATGGAGAATGCAGGAAAAGGAAACAGCTTTGGGAAGGGAATTTCAGAGTTCAGGACTAGACAGCCCCCAGATTTGTTTACAACATGACAATGACCATTATGAATAGCAACAGAGCACAGCCCATCAGTCTGAATACCTGTGACTTTTATTTATTTGGATATGGAATTACATTCTAATTACACTGAAGCCCAGACTCCTCAGAAAGCTCCTTTCAGGATCTATTCTCAAGCACCGGGCTTTGATTGTTTCTTTTCAGATATTAATTATTTGGTTTTAGTTAATAAACTAGCTGTATACATATCATACACAATTGCTCTTATACTGCAGCTTCAAATGAGTATTTAAGCCAAAAGAACTCACTACGTCAATCACTATGAATAGATATGTCTTAAGTAATACCCCAATGTAAATAATTCTTATGAAGCAAGGTGCAGTGGTTTTATTCTTGGGGTGCAGTTGACTCTGGTCAGGCAACATTTGTAGCTCCTTTCTTGATCTGAGGATTTTAAAGAGTTATCTATGTGATTATAGGACTAGACTCCCACAAAGGCCAGACTGGGCTGGACCAACAAGTGTCTTTCCTTCTGTGGTACATCAGCAAACCAGGGAGCTTTTATAAAATATGTTGTAATTCTCAGTCATTTCATCACCAACCCCACACCCTAAACCCACTGCCCCTCCAACTGTTACTCACAACAACCAGATGTTATTCTATTCAGTTTTTACACATTTGTGCTTGCTAGTCCAATGCCATAACCATTGACTTAATAAAGCAATTGACTCCACTGGAAATAATCCTCACAGGCTGCTCACCTTCTCGTAAAATGTGACTGATTCAACCATCTCTGGTAAGAGGGCGGTAAATGGAGATAGAATTGCGGTGGATTTTCTCCAGGCCTGCTACTGTGTCAAAACACAGATAAAGTGAGGACTTTAAGATAAAACAAAGAACTGCGGATGCTGGATATCTTGGGGGGGGAAAGTGCAGAATTTACTGGCAAAACTGCCAGTTCTGAAGAAGAGTCAGTAGACTGAAAAAATTAACTCTGCTTTCTTCCCACAGATGCTTCCATGGCAGCTGTGTTTTGCCAGCAGTTTCTGTTTTTGTTTCAAAGAGGAATATTTGCATTTACTGCTCATGAGATTGTGCTATATGTCTGAATAATAGTCATTGCATTTCATTTGCAGCACAAAAAAATTGCTGGTTGCCCTTTTGTGCCCAGGCTGACATTGGGGAATTGGGGACGCAGGGAAGCTCATCTGAGTTTGTGAACCGGGAATAGCTGGCATTTCAATCCTTGTGCCTTTCAAAGCAGAAACCATACCTCCAGATAAAGTAAGCTGTTGTTGTAGAGCACTTTGAGACATCTTCAGCATGAAGTGAGGGTCTGTCTGAATTCATGCTTCCCCCTCCTATCCCTGTAAGCAAGGCAATTTGCATCACCTCAGCAAAGGCTGAGAACTGAGAGTGGGCACTTGCTGACACATGGTTCTGGAGTTTAATGGTGGGCTTATTAGGCAATCAATTTCTTGATCTTTTTCTAAAGTACATGGTGAACACTCTTTCCCTAAAGAAATGGAAGAGAGACTACATGTTAGAAATGATCCGGATGAATGTCTGTTGGGCAAGAACACAGGTAGTGCCAGGATCTCAGGCCCCAAAATTCCAATCTGCTTTAAAGTTAGTTCAGAAGAAAGGTTTAGCATATCTCCTAACCACAGGAGATCCCAAAGAGCTTGAAGTTCTTTTGAAAGGTTCTACCTCCTACAGTTGTAATGTAGGAAATGTGGCAACCATTGTGTGTACAGCAAGCTTTCACAAACAATGATGAGGTAATGACCACAGCCATTCCATCCCAGTCCTCATCTGGTTTACATGAAGACCACTCTGTACTATTATATAAGTGGCAGAGATTGGTAGGGAAGGATGGTTGGTGGATCTTCTGGATATTCACTTCACATGAAGGAGGAGCAGTTCAAGGATGGTGGGGTGGTTTCCCAGGCTAGCCCATCAATTCTGCCCCTGTCCTGTGAACAAAACTGAACAGTTATGTCCCTTTGAGGCCCCCAAAAAACTTCAACCTTCCTTCTCCCCAAACCTCACCCTGGGTCAAGGACAGAACCAATTACCTCTTCTTGAAGCAGTCTATTTCCTTGCAGTCATTTTATTGATATTCTTCTAGTACTTATCTTCTTGCACCTAATAATAAGGCTAGGGAAGGGGAAAGTTGATGGAGGAAAGTGTGAGTTGCCCCAGCTGCTGTTAGGGATGGAGAGCTGCTAGTGGGCATTAATGGACTCATCATCATCCGTCTCTAGGTTTTGGGAGAGAAGCCTTGGGCAATCACTCTACAAGGTGTTGGGAGCCCTCTAGGAAATTTGGGACTGTGGCAAGGAACTAAATGAGCAGCTTGAAACAGTGAGTGCAAAGGGATCGTTAGGTGCATGCTGTCAAGACTTCATATCTAGCTGCCTCTAAAGTCTGGTGTCTGTATGAAAATGAGGAACCAAGTCTGTCCCTTTCGCTGGATAGATTGAAGCTTGCCTTCTAAACGGTTTATATTGAGCAGTGCCTACATCTCTTGATCCACTGGGGAGTGATGGGCTTTCTCAGTTACGAGGCTGAGAGTTGAATTCTTGACAGATATTGTGCACAATCCGGGGCACGAACTGATATAAGTTGTCAAAATCATCAACAAAGAAGGAATGGTCTTTGTTGGGGTCTGATGCAATGTACTCCAGCTCGTCCATCGCAGCCCAGGCAATGCCTACAGCATACGCAATCACACCTACAAACAAGAAACAAGCAATCAGACTTACATAGAATCATAGCACGGAAACACACAGCTCCACGCCAGCACTTATCGTCCACTTGAGCCTATTTATTTTATCTCCCCCATCACAATATTGTTCTATTACTTTCTCCCTCAGCACCAAGTCGCACATTCCCACCATTCTCCAGCTAAAGACATTTCGCCTGAATTTCTTCTTGAATTTATGATTCCTGGTTTTGGAAACCTCCACAAAAAGATATTTTCTCAGAGTTGACCCAATTGAAAGACTCCACAATGTTAAAGGCTTCTATCAGACCTAGTGACTTCTACCAAACTTGAGCAGGGATTGCGGTGAGACAATTGAGCCCACCAGGGTGAACCTGTCAAACTGGTTTGGCTTGTCATTCGGAGAAGATTTATGAAGATAATGCTAGGGATGAGAGTTCGGATCACAGGAAATTTAGGATCTCAATCATTGAGATTGTGGCTGATCCATGTCTGAACTTATATCTGTTGAACATCCCTTAATACCTGTGAATAACGACGACCCATCATCTCAGATTTAACATTTCCAGTTGGACTAGCATTGACTGTCATTTTCAACTCAAGTTGCAAGCTCTAGCACCCTTCTGTGGAGAGAGGTATTTCCATATTATTAACTACTATGAAAAATTTGGTTCACATTTTTAGACATCAGCCACAATCTCAAACTTCCCCAAACTGCAGGAATGGTTTTTCTGTATCTTCTTTTTCTGTTTGTCTTGATATCTTGAAAATTTCTATCAACTCACCCCTTAACCATTTAAATTCCTGGGAATAGCACCATTTTTTGTGTAATATCTCTTGGGAATTTAACCCTTGGAGCTCAGGTATTATATGCTGCAATCCCTCAATGCCAACATACTCTCCCTAAGATGTGGTGCCCAGAACTGCTTCCGTACGCCAGGTGAAGCCTATCTTAGATTTTAAACTTTAGGTTTTCTAGTCCCATAAATATAAAGGCCAGTGATAAATTAGTTATGGATTACTTTGTGACATTTTCATGATCTATGTACATGCACCTCCCAAATCTCACCGAAGTTCCAATGATTTTAACATGTACACTCTTCCACCCTTATTGGGTCTAAAATAAATGTCCTCATATTTTCTTACACAGAAATCCACTCACCACAATTTTTGCCATTCATTTAATCTACTAATGTCTATGTAATTAAGTTTCATGTGCACAGCTTGAAATACTATTCATCTTTGTGTCATCAGAGCAAAATATTGCAGATGCTGGAGAACTCAGCATCTGTGGAGAGTTAATGTTTCACGACCATTGACTCTCCTTCGGAACATATCTTTGTGATAATGGCTAATTTGTATAGGTAAAGGTATAAAAAGCCACATAAGTTGTTAGTAAATACTACGAAAAATTCCAACACCTCTAGTCCTACTCTGTCTTCCGCCTTTTGGCCAACTTCCTGACCAAGTTAATAATTTACCTTCAAATCCATGAGCTTTCAGTTTAGCTAACAGTCTCATGAGGCACTTTATCAAATGCCTCCTGAAAGTCACAATAACTAACAGCCACAGACAGTCCCCTTTCCACAACTATAGTCATATCTTTGAAAAATTCAATCAGGCTTTTCAGGCAGTATGTGCCCTTTACCAACCTGTGCTGGTTTCCCCTGGTTGGGTGAATATTCCCAAACTGATCTATAATTAGAGTCTCCAGCAAGGGCTTGATTTTTAGGTGACCCCAGGATCCAGGTCAGGGAGCCTTTGCCCTTTTCATGTATAAACTGGTTTTCCATTCCTCCCACTGATCTTCTTGCTATTTGAACAAAGTTTACTGTGGACAGTCTGTCTCATCCCATTGTGGTCAGTCTTCCCCAAAGCTAGAATCTTAGTAGACATTAGCAGCTATAGGCAGAAACTGGGATTGGTCTCAGAATATGTAGATTAAGAGAGATTTAATAAATTACAAAAGTTATTAAACAGTTTTCGTTCAGTAAATGAAGAGTAACAGTTTTGGCGACTGGAGGGTTAGTAATCAGAACAGACAGATTCAAGGTACTTGACAAAAGAATTAGACATGACATGAGGAGAATTGTTTTGATGCAGTGAATTGTTATTATCCAGAAAGCACAGACTAAAAGGGTAGTGCAAGCAATTCAATAATAACTTCCAGAAGACAATTGGACATAAACTTGAAAAGGGAACATTTATAATTGTTCAGTTCTGGTAATGTGTTCTCTTTTCCAAATGACCAGTACAGTGTCACTGTGAGCCCCGTCCACAGCGTGGTGTCACCGTGAGCCCCATCCCCCAGCGCGGTGTCACCGTGAGCTCCATCCCTAGTGCTTACCGTCTCTATGAGCAGCAAGTGCTGGTGCCTGCACATCATCGTAAGACCGTCCATCGGTGATGACAATCATGAGCTTCCTTTTGTTGGGTTTGGAATTGCTAAATAGATGCTTTAATGCATAACTGATGGCTTCTCCAGTACTGGTGCCACCGCTCCAGTACCTAATGTCCTTAACAGCAGTGGTTAGTGTCTCCTTGGTGCTGTGCTTGTCAAAGCCAAACTCGAGTCTCTGCTCGTAGGTGTACTGCACCACTCCCACCCGTGTCCCTGTGTCGGAGATCTCAAACTCCTGGCTAATGTTGGCCACAAACTGCAGGATTGTGCGGAAGTTGCCGGTTCCCACGCTGCTTGAACCATCCACTACAAAGCCAATATCAGCTGAGTTGAGGCAGGTCTTGCTGCAGGCCAGCTGCTCGGTGTCACATACCCGTTTTACCAGCGGGCCCACCGCCTGGTACAGCTTAAACCAGCTGGGCACATTGATGGAGAAGTAGCCATTAGTTCTGCACACAGACTGGAAAGGATGAGAGAGAGATTTATAAACTGTATTCCTCTATATCCGTCACTGCTTTGTTCAATGATTTTAATCTGCCTTTCTATGTCTCATTGTAATTTCCCACTCCCATCTTTACAACAGTGCATCAAAACCTGATTGACTGATTGATGATGTTGGGGTAAGTAAGAGTGAGAAAGACGGCTAGATTGAGAGAAGAAAAGAGAGTGGAGGCAGACAGAAACAGCATAACAGAGAAAGAAGCAGACACAGAGGGTCAGTCGGAGAAAAGTGGAGTCAGAAGCAGAAAGAGTAAGACAATGAAGAGGCAATGGCCTAGTGGTATTATTGCTGGACTGTTAATCCAGAGACCCAGGTAATGTTCTGGGGACCTGGGTTGCCGTGGCAGATGGTGGAATTCGAATTCAATAAAAAAAATCTGGAATTAAGAATCTAACAATAACCATGAATCCATTGTTGATTGTCAGAAAAACGCATCTGGTTCACTAATGTCCTTTAGGGAAGGAAACTGCCATCCTTACCCGGTCTGGCCTACTTGTGACTCCAGACCCACAGCAACGTGGCTGATTCTTAACTGCCCTCTGGGCAGTTAGGGATGGTCAGTGATGCCCTCATCCCATGAATGAATAAAGAGAAAAAAAGACAAACAGATGGAGAAAAGAACAGCGAAACGAAGCAGGGCAATGGAAGTATGGAAAGCAAACAGACAGAAAGAGAAGGTAGTTGGAAACTGACAGGGAAGGAGGAAACAGTTTGTTTTGTATTTACGTGGAAATGTCCAGGAGCAGCAGCTGGTCTGTATGTGGAACATGCAGTTTCAGTATATGCTGTGTCAATACATGCTGTATCAGTATACATTATTTTTGTATACACTAAATCGCTATATGCTGTTTCAGCGTACACTTTTTAACTATACACTGTGTCAGTACACACAGTTTCAGTATATGCTGTATCAGTATATATTATTTCAGCATACACTATACTAGTATATGCTGGATCACTATAACATTTCACTCTACATTGTATGTAAACACTGTTTCAATTGCTGTATCAGTATACACTGAATCACTATAAACTGTGTCTGTGCGCTGTTTCGGGGAAGGCAATGACCTAATGCTATTAATCCAGAAACTCAACTAATGTGTTGGGGACCTCAGAACAAATCATGTCACAGCAGATAGTGTAATTTTAATTCATTAAGAAATATTCGGAATTATTGAAACCATTGTCAATTGTCAGAAAAACCCAACTGGCTCACTGATGCCCTTTAGGGAAGGAAATCTGCCATCCTCACCTGGTCTGGCCTACTTGTTTCTCCATAGCCACAGCAATGTGGTTAACTCTGAAATAGCCTTTCAAATACCTCAGCTGTATCAATCACTATGAAGTCTCAACAAAGAAATAAAACAGGATGGACCAGCTGGCATTGACCCAGGCACCAGAAACGATAATGGTAAAAATAGCCATGTCGACCCTGCAAAGTCGTCCTTACTAACATTTAGGGGCTAGTGCCAAAGTTGGGAGAGCTGTCTCACAGACTAGTCCCATAAGCCTAACATAGTCATACTCATGGAATCATACCTTACAGACAATGTCCCAGACTCCACCATCACTGTCCCTGGATATGCCCTGTCCCACTGGCAGCACAGACCCAGCAGTGGTATACAGTCAGGAGGGAGATGACCTGAGAGTCCTCAACATTGACTCTGGGCCTTATATAATCTCATGACTTAAGGTTAAAAATGGGCAGTTGGTGGTCAGTTAAACAACTCATTGGAGGAGGAGGTTCTACAAATATCCCCCTCCACAATGATGGAAGAGCCCAGCACATCAGTGGAAAAGATAAGACTGAAGCTTTTGCAACAATCTTCAGCCAGAGATGCCAAGTTGACAATCCATCTCAGCCTCCTCCAGTGGTCCCCAGCATTACAGGTACCAGTCTCCAGCCAATTCGATTCACTCCATGTGACATCAAGAATCTGTTGGAGACACTGGATACCAAAAAGGCAACGGGCCCTGATGACATTCCAGCAATAGTACTGAAGACTTGTGCTCCAGAACTTGCCGCTCCCCTAGCCAAGCTGTTCCAGTACAGTTACAACATTAGCATTTACCCAACAATGTGGAAAATTACCCACAAAAAGTAGGACAAATCCAACCCAGTCAATTACTACCCCATCAGTTTATTCTCGATCATCAGTAAAGTGATGGAAGGTGCTATTGACAGAGCTATCAAGCAGCACCTACACAGCAATAACTTGCTCACTGATGCCCAGTTTGGTTTCCACCAGGTCCATTCAGCTCCTGACCTCATTACAGCCTTGGTTCAAATATAGACAAAAGAGCTGAATTCCAGACATGAGGTGAGAGTGACAGCTCTTGACATCAAGGCCACATTTGATCAACTGTAGCATCAAGAAGCCCCAGCAAAACTGCAATCAATGGATATCAGGGAGCTGGGATATTGTGCTGGAGTACAATTCTGCTGTTGTTGATGGCCCACAGCACCTCATGGATGCCCAGTCTTGAGTTGCTACATCTGTTTAAAGTCAGTCCCATTTAGCATGGTGATAGTGCCACACAACAAGAAAATGGGACTTTGTCTCCATTGTGTGGTGGTCACCCCTATAAGTATGGTCTGGCCAAACACAGCAAGTGGATTGGTAGGCATGAGGTGAGGTATGATTTTCCCTCTTGTTGGTTCCCTCATTACCTGCCACAGACTCAGTCTAGCAGCTATGTCCCTTTGGACCCAACCAGCTCGATCAGTAGTGCTGCTGCCACCAAGCCTGTCTTGGTGGTGAAAACACCACCCAGAGTACATTTTGCAACCTCGCCACCCTCAGTGTTTCCTCCAAGTGGAGGAACTGTTTCTATAAAAAATGGAGCAGATTGAAGATACCCAGGGATGGCTGGCTAAAGACAATGTCGAACTGTAATCATTATCTGCAGTGGATGGGGAAGGTTCATGTTTAACAATTTTTTTTTGTGAGATGATTTATTTTGACACACTTGAAGAAGTTTGTGCCTGTCAGCTGTGTGCAGGAGATTCTTCCTTCAGTCCAGTACTTGTACCTGAAGGATCTTTAGGCAGACAGAAGTTACAATGTGGGATTCAGAGATGCAAATGGAGTCCATAAACTCTTCTCGAAGAGCATAGTGTAGTGATTTGAAAAAGAGGAATATCCAAATGGAAGTGGAGAGAGAGCAGGAAAGTGAAGTTTAACACATGGCTTGCTGCAGAAGCCAAACTGACAAGATTCAATTGGATGGTTTTGACACTTTTACAGCTCGACAACAGCCAACAGCACAGAGAAGACAATATTCACTGATCTGGCCATTAATAGCACATGGGCCTGGAACACTGGTATAGTTTGTATGTATAGACCCACCAGCTTTGAACTAAATCCTACTTTAGTTATAAACTTTTGCAAGAACGTGAAGAGGAATAAATATCAGACACTTTACATCCCTAAATTGCAGGGACCACCAACTGATATGGAGACCATTCCATCATGCTGTGGCTATCCCACAATCCTGCACCCAGAGTACATGACTTCACCTTGTCCACAAAGTCTCTCTCGACCAGGTTCTGCCTCTCGCTCTGGTCTGCACCTTCCACTGTGATGAAGAAGATGTTGATGCCAGACTCTCGGGTGAGGCGAGCAGCTTCTTCGACCTTGTCTGTGGGCCACCCATCGACCAGGACCACTACCACATTGGGGGCCCCTCCGCGATTCCCCTGCTCTTTGGAAAAGAAATTCTCAAGGGCATGACTGAGCGCTCTCCCTGCAAAGAGAAAGATTCCACACCTTTTAGTCAATTCTCCAGTTTCCATTGAGCTATATGTGTGTTCATTATAGCCCCTGACATAAATGATTATTGCACTGCATTGAAGCATATCCTTGAACCTCAGCTAATCCAGTTAACCATGATGTTAAACTAATGATAGAGGGTCAGTTTTGTACCCTGAGAGGTTTAGGGAAGTAACTCCAGTGAGACAAAGGCAGATACACCAATGGTATTGCACAGGACAGAATCAAGGGGAGGGAAGGGGGACAGGATGCAATTTTCCATATGAACGAGAATGAAACAAGGAACCCTTCAATCAAATTTGAATGCATATCCTTTTGAAATCTAGTGAGTATAATATATCCATCAGGCTTTTTTAAAATAGTCAGTATTAAAACACAGTCACAAGCACAGCTACTTTTAACAGTTGATCAGTGTTAACAGTCTGTTCAAAATGTTGCATAGAGCAGTTAATACCTGAAAGATAAGCCCTGCCCAGCAGGATATAAAGAACTGTTCTAGTGGGAGTTAATCATTGACCTAGGGTGTCCTCCAAAAGTTGCAGAGTGTTATGGCACGTGTTGCTAATGTGTCCTAACCAGTGCTTCAGTGATTGTCCTTATTGTTAACAGCGCGTAGTTAAATCAGTAATGTGCATTTACTCTTAAACTAAGCCTGATATCTCACAAGAGACCACAAGCATCTTAATGTAATGTAACTAGCATCCAAGTGAAATCTAATCAATCTAATCCATTTAATTGAAGCCAAGAAAACCTTCTACTGAGTACATTGTGTAGGCATCCTTCCCCAATTGGTATCAGTGACTCAACTAATACCTATAAGCAGGACTACTGGCAGCGAATGAAGCCAAAAGATGTTGGCAATACTGACAACTAATGTTAAAACATCAAACTGCTGGGCTGGAGATCTGCTGTAAACTCACCGAAACCACCTTCCTCCAACTGTTGGAAGGTGTAAGATTAGTGATGTGAGCACACGTTGGGAAGGGTGAGGCACTTACCCACATTGGAGAGGCCACCTCGCTGTGGAATCTTCTCAATGGCATTTTTAAGATCGTCTGAGTTTCGGTAAGTCTGGAGGTTGAACTCCGTACTAGCATTGTTCCTGGAATGACAAAAAGTCAATGTTGTTTAATATCTGGCAAAATAAAGGGGGGAGTATTGTGCATTTATATAGCACCTATCAATCGCAAAGTGCTCCTTTCCCCTCATTATTGTTTGCAATCTTGTCATTTTGAGGGGAGATTTTGGTGCCACTCACCCAAACTGTATGATGCCAATCAATGGGCCTGCTACTCCAATGTCGAGGGCTTGAGCAATCTTCATCAGAAAACTCTTCTGAATACGAAACCTCCGCCTTCCAATGCTCCAACTTCCATCCATCAGGAATGCAAGGTCAATCTTGCAATCTGCAGTGGCGAAAAGAGCAGTCCCTTAAACCAAGACCTGACAGCTGACCCAATACTGCACAGGAAAGGCTTCAAAGGCAATAATGCTGGAAATACTCCGCAAATCAGTCAGCTTCTGTGGTGAGGGAGACAGAGTTAACTTTTCAGTTTGATGACCTTTCATCAAAACTCAGGTGATCTTTGTTAAGGCATTGAAAATGGTTTGATAGTGTAAATGGGAGAAGCTACTTTCTTAGGCATGGCAATCCATAACAGTAAGAGATTGTTATTTGTAGTCAACACCCCTGGAACAGATGGGCCCTGACCCCAGGCTCCTGGTCTAGAGGTAAGGACAAGACCACAAAAGCCTTTAAACCATGAAGTTTAGCTAGACCATTTAGGTATGAATTGCTGTAAACCAGAGATGCTCCACCAAGCAGAGATGGCACGTCTATAAGCCAGACATGTTGTACCTGAACAGAACCGGAACTGAGGTCTTTGAGGGATGTTACACTAGTGCAGTGGGGAGAATTGACTGGGCAGGAGTATAGGAACCAGGGAAGTGTATCAGAGAGGGATTGTAGGCTGCACAAAACACTGAGAAAGACGGATGACATTAAAATAGAGAACAATAGTTAATGGGAGAGTGGCAAAAAGGAATGGAGCCTAAAGCAGGCTTACGCCAACCAATTGTAAATGCACAGGGTATAATTATTAAGATTGGGGAGTTACGGGTCCACGTTGTCTTGTGAGATTATGATGCCATGCTATAACAGAAACCTGGCTTAAGTAAGTGTGTTAAATATTCCTGGTCAGAAGGTCTTCAAAAAAGTTACGAAAGGAAACAAAAGTACAGGTGGCAGTTTTAGTTAAGGAGATCATTATAGTGTGGCAGACAGGATGTCCCGAGGGTTCAAAGACACAGTTGATTTGGCTAGCACAACACAATAGAAAGGGTACAATTACATTGCTCAGTGTAGTCTATAGACCATCAACTAGTCAAAAGGTTGTAGAGGAACAAATCTGCAGGGAAATTACAGTAAGACATGAAGATCACACAGTAGCAATAATAGGGTACTTTATCCAGCAGAGTGTGGACTAGGACATTGTTAGAGTAAAAGGCAGTGAGGGACAAGTGTTCCTAGATGATGTTCAAGAGAATTTCGACAGCTGTGTGTGTCCAATCCAACAAGAAAGAAGGCACTGCTAGGTCTAGTTCTCGCAAATGAGGTGGACCAAGTTGGTCAAGTGACAGTCGGGGAATATTTGGAGAATAGTAATAATTGCAACACAAAACTCAAAGGATAATCCAAAGAAAGAATAATAACTGGAAGAGAGTTGACTTCAATGGGCCAAGAACAGAGCTGAGCCGAATAGACTGGAACCAAAGGTAAGGGAAAATTCTGGTTTCTGAACAACGGGCCACCTTCAAAGAGGAGATGCTGCAGGCACAGTCAAGGTATATTCTCTTAAAAGTGAAAGTTAAAGGTAGGGGAAAACAAATCTAGAGCTCCCTGGATGACAAAGGAGATAGGGACTAAGATAAAGAAGGTTGAGAAATTGAGGACCAATAGGACAACAACAGTTTTTGGGGAAGTGATTAAGAGGGATTGTCAGAAAACATTAACAGCTAACACAAGGGAATCCCAAATTCTTCCATAGGTACAAAAACAGTAAAATTGTGGTTAAAAAAATATAGACCCCAAAAGGTGGATTTATGCTTGGAGTCAGGGGGCAAAAGAAGAAGATGCTGCCCAGGCCATGGTGACAGTAGAGGAACTTCAGTCAATAAAAGGGTTCAGAACTGATAAGGAGAAGGTATTGGATATGCTATCGATGCTTAAAGTTGACAAAATACTGGGACCAGATGAGATCCATCAAAGGATACTGAAGGATGTGGCAATGGAAAATGCTGAGGCACTAGCCAAAATCTGTCGGGTTTCCCTGGTTCCTGGGGTAGTGTTGAGAACTTGAGAATTGCACATTTTTAAAAGGAGTTGTAAGAGCAGCAATTATAGACCAGTCAGTTTACCTTAAATGGTGAGGAAGCTTCTAGAAACAATTCTTCAGGAAAGAATTAATAGTTATATGGGAAAATGAAGAGTCAGGACATATGTCTAAAGGAAAGATTGTGTCTGACTAACTTGCTGGTGTTTTTTAGAAGAAATAACAGAGAGAGTGGATGATAGTAATGTTGCTGATGTGGTGTACATGGATTTCCAGGATGGGTTTGATACAGTGTCACATAACGGTCAATGGATATTTTTTGGGCTGGAGGAAGGTTTGTAATGGAGTTCCCCAGGGATCAGCATTGGTACCTTGCCTTTCCTGATTTACACTGATGATCCAGATCTCAATGTGCGGGGGACAATTTCAAAATTTGCAGATGACATGAAACTTGGGAAAATTGTAAATTCTGAAGAGGAAAGTATACAACTCCAAAAGGACATTGATAAGTTGATGAAGTGTGCAGATGGGTGGCAGATAAAGTTTAATGCAAGAAGGTCTGAGTAGAAGAACATGGAGGTACAGTATAAAATAAAGAGTCACGCAGCACGGAAACAAACCCTTTGGCTCAACTTGTCCACGTTCCCAAGCTAAACTAGTCCCATTTGCCTGCATCTGGCCCATATCTCTCTAAACCTTTCCTATTCATATATGACCAAATGTTTTTTAAATGTTGTAATTGTACCTGCATCCACCACATCCTCCGGCAGTTCACTCCACAAACGTGTAAAAAAATTTGCCCCTCTGGTTCCTTTTAAATGTTTGTCCTTTCATGTTAAAAATGTGCCCTCTAGTTTTGAACTCCCTCACCCTAGGGAAAAGACCTTTGCCATTTACTTTATATATGCCCCTCATGATTTTATAAACCTCTATAAGGTCACCCTTCAACCTCCTAAGCTCCAGTGAAATAAGTCCCAGCCTATCCAACCTCTCCATATAATTCAAACCTTCCAGTCCCGATAACATCATTGTAAATCGTTTCTGCACCGTCTCCAATTTAACAATAACCTTCCTATAGCAGAGTAACTAGAACTGTACACAGTACTCCAACAGTGGCCTCATCAATGTCCTGTAGAGCCTCAATATGACATCCCACCTCCTTTACTCAATGATCTGAGCAATGAAGGCAAGCATGTCAAACACCTTCTTTACCAGCCTGTCAACGTCTGAAGCAATTTTCAAGGAACTATGCACCTGAACCCCTAGGTCTCTCTGTTCTACAACGCTACCCAGGGCCCTACGATTAACTGTGTAAGTCCTGCCCTTGTTCATCTTACCAAAATGCAACACCTTACATTTATTCAAATTAAACTCCATCTGCCACTCCTCAGCCCATTGGTTCAAATGATCAAGATCTCTTTTACTCTTAGATAACCTTCTTCACTGTCCACTTTTGATGTCATCCACAACCTTACTAACCATGCTTCCTATATTATCATCCAAATCATTTATACAACTACAAACAACAGTGGACCCAGCACCGATCCCTGTGGCACACCACTGGGCATGGGTACCTCCACCACCACCCTCTGTCTCCTACCATCAAGCCAATTTTGTACCCAATTGGCAAGCTCCCCCTAAATCCCTATGATCTACCTTTACTAGTCAGTCTGCCAGGCAGAACCTCGCCAAAGGCTTTGCTAAAGTCCATATAGACAACATCTACTGCTCTGCCCTCGTCTACCTTCTTGGTCACATTCTCAAAAAACTCAATCAAGTTTGTGAAACACAATTTCCCGTGCACAAATCCATGCTGACTATCCCCAAACAGTTCTTGCATCTCCAAATGCATGTAGATTCTATCTCTCAGAATCCCCTCCAACAACTTACCCACCACTGACATCGGACTCACTGATCTATATTCCCAGGCTTCTCCTTGCAGCCTTTTTTACATAAAGGCACTACATTAGCCACCCTCCAGTCTTCCAGCACCTCACCCGTGGCTGTAGATGATACAAATATCTCTGCTAGGTGCCTCATAGTTTATTCCCCAGCATCCAGCAATATCCTTGGATATGCTTGATCAGGACTCGGAGATTTATCTAACTTTATGCTTTTTAAGACCTCTAGCACCTCCTTTTCTGTAACATGGACTCTCTTCAAGACATCACCGTATATTTTTCCAAGTTCCCTATCTTCCATGTCTTTCTCCAAAGTAAAAACTGAGTCCTGGATGTATATACTCATAAATCACTAAAAGTGGCAGGACAGGTCTAGTGAGCAGTTAATAAAGCAGACAGTATCATAGGTTTTATTAATAGGGACACAGAATACAGCAATATAGAAGGTTTTCTTTACAGTTCTGGGCTCTACATTTTAGGAAAGATGCAAATGTGTTGGAGAGAGTGTAGAAGATGTTTAACAGACAGTTCCAGGGCTATAAAGGTAGGTTGGAGACAATTTTCCTTGGAGAGGAGAAAGCTAAGGGGAGATTTGCTTGAAACTTTCAAAATCGTGAGTGGGATGGATAGAATAAATTAGGAGAAACTGTTCCCTCTCATAAGGATTGATAACTAGAGGGCAATTTTCAAAAGAAGCAGATGTGATGTGAGGAAAAGCTTTCTTAGACAGTTAACAGTATGGAATGCACTGTCTGGAAGTGTGGTGGAGGCAGGTTTAACTGAGGCATTCAAGAGGGGATTAGATAATGATTTAAATGGAAACAATGTGTAGGGTAACAGGGAAAAGTCAGGATATTGTCACTAAGCCATAATGTTCATTCAGAGAGATAGTGCAAACACAATGGGTTGAATGGTCTCCTGATTGTTTATTATTCTTTGCAGCATCTTGACAGAACTAAATGGTTAACTTGACCATTTCAGAGGATAATTCAGAGTCAACTTTCTTGATGTGAAGTGAGAGTTATGTATAGGTCAGACTGGTTGGGAAAAACAGCAGACAAATGTACAACAGGGTTTAGTCAGAGCACTGAAGGGTTTGGTGAAGGTGATAAATAACAATCTAATCAAAAGCTTCTCATTGCCACGTTCCTATGATATTTTTCTCCCTCAGATGTCTTCTGAAGGTTAATCCTTTAATTCCCAGAGACTTCAAGATGTTTCAGAAGAATCGGCAAGTCTGGATAGCTATTCTGCTGAACATACAGACCGTTACAAGTTCAACTCTCTTTCCTGACCCCCACCCCCAGTATCTGGGAATGTTCTCCATCCACCTCCATATCCGGGTAGCTTTAGATTGAGGTAATTTTGGATAATGGGAAGATTCCGTCTACCTGTTTCTCCCCCGACCCCATTTCGACTCCATCGCCACTCCCACCAACCTGATCGATCCACATCATCTCCTGGGCCAAGGGAAAAGCAGGAAATTCAGGGACAATAAAGGAAAAGGAATCTTCTGGAAAAACACTTCCAACGAGAAAAGCAGAAGCAGAAATCCCTTTGCTGCAAAAATGACAACTGAGCGTAAAGAAAACTGTAGTTGCTCTGTCTACCTTAGACAAGCCTTTTGAGATGTCAATCACTCTTTAAAAGGCTTGGGAGGTGTTATTAGTAATATTATCAGAGAATTTTTTTAAAAAGCACAATTTATAGACTCATATTCTCAGGAAGCATTAAACTGTTTTGCTTGTGAGTCGATAAGGCTGATAAAAAAAATGGAGTGGACTGGATTTATTTTAATGTGGAGTAAAATGGGCTAAGATGCGTCAATGCACTGCAAAGATCCTGGTTAACTTTGTCTCATTTATCTCTACCTGACCTCTCAGAGATGAAAAATTATTGGTGGCATTGACTCTACCGTTCAGTGACCGCAGCCTTGAAGGATTCACTTCAGGAACTGTCAATTTAAGTCTGCAGTTGAATAAAATTCAAGTCTGGAGGTCAATGCATGCACCTTACTTATTGCCCATCAAAAATATTGGGGGGCAGTAAATTGTGCAAAATTTTCAATGTGTTCTCCCAGCACCTTTGCTTGGGAGCATTTGATTTCTGCATGGCCAGTAATAGAGTGGAATTTCACTTTATTGTTTTGCTATCTAATGTGTTAGTCATTTCAAGAGGCAAGAAACTGTAGATACTTGGGTCTCCTTGCGAAATTGGGTCCTCAATGAAATCTTGGTTCTTTCTGCTGAAGCCTGGTTAGAAAGAAAACGTAAAATCAGTGCATTTACCAGCAGTGATTCCTCATTATCTTCTACACACAACTAAACATCATGTCTCAGGACTGTGAGATATTGTATTATGGATTCTCTTTACTAACTCACTCACAAGCGCTCTATGTTTATTAAACCACGTGTCCATTCACTTATTCATAAAACTGCGTTTTGTAGTACATTTTATTCTTACAAGATAAAATAATTTAAACATCTCTTCTAACCCATTACTGTTTCTTTACATCTTTCAATTCTTATTGGCCCATGCTGTAAATAGTGTTTAAACCTGTTTCTGTATCAAAGGCTACCCCTGAATAAGTGTTAATACTGTAACCTACTCTGAACAATGTCATCCCTGAATCATGTCTCAATAACCCACTCAAAACAATGGAAAGATTATAATATTAATTAGCCTGTAGTAACTGTCTCTTGGGACCTGAGTATGTCGCGGGACATCAAACAGTTTCCTCCACTAGCATGTCCCTACAGTTTGCTGATTTTTATCTCTTTGAAATTTCCTTATACACTACCTATTTATATAACACTGTACTACCTAGTTCTAACTTTTATTTAGGACTACCATCTTGTACTAATGCATGGATTTATACTTTTAAATATACATTGTATAGGACCACTACCCCTTTAAGAAACTTACTATCCAAACAGCGCTTCCATGAAACTTTATGAATGAATGTGTAAGAACTGTCTAAACCGGCAATAGTAAATAAAATCTTACGATCCATCTGCAGGAGATCAGTTTAATACCCTGTCTACTTTTATTTAGTACACATATCATTTCTCACTTATTTAGATCTTATAGGTGTAGTATTTTTACTAACATTAATAACTTTAAAGACAAAAGGGGTAACACCTCTTAATTATGCAAACTCAGACCCGGACAGACATTCTAATCACATCAGGAGAAACAGCCAGCATTTAGCAAGTGCTTAAGCCATCTCCTGCTTCTCCCAGACAGATCTCACACAAACTTGCATACAATAGACACAATTACGTGACATCATTGTGCTAAAGTTTTAATGTATGTAAAAACTGTGTATAAAAGAGGCTGCTGTAAAACTGTACTTTGAATTCCATCGCCACCTAGTGCGAATGCTGAATAAAGAGGCTATTTTTGCCACTCACCAACCTCGGTCATTATTGAACACGATCCCACAGGATTAAGGGCAGAACATCCAAACATTTTCCTGTGATTGCTGTCAGGATATGTCACCTTAGCCACTCAATGCAGACCTGGTCGACCCAATATCTTCAAACCTGAACTAACCATCCAAAACTCTGCTGCCCATGTCCTAATACCAATCTCTGATTCTCACATCTTATGCATTCCCAATTTTAATTGCTCCACCATTTGTGGCCACACCTTTAGCTGTCTAAGGACTAAATTCTAGAATTCCCTCTTAAACCCCCCTAACTCTTAAACTCTCCTTTCTTCTATAAGGCCTGCAAGCTTGTGGACATCTTCTCATATATGTCCTCTGTCAAATCCTGTTTGATGATGCTCTTGCAATGTGCACTGGGGTGCTTTACTACTTTTTTAAAATTCAGTCACAGGATGTAGGCATCTACTGGCTAGGCCAGCATTTATTGCCCATCCCTAATTGCCCAGAGGGCAGTTAAGAGTCAACCACATTGCTGTTGGTCTGAAGTCACATGTAGGCCAGACTAGGTAAGGATAACAGTCTCCTTCCCTAAAGGACATTAGTGAACTAGATGGGGTTTTGTCGACAATCAACAATGGATTCATGGTCATCATTAGACTCCTAATTCCAGATTCTTTATTGAATTCAAGGTCCACCATCTGCCATGGCAAGATTTGACCTGGGTCCCCAGAACATTAGCTACATTTCTGGATTAATAGTCGAAAACTAATACCACGAGGCGATTGACTCTCCTGGAAAAGAAAATGGTATGGAAATGGAAGTTGGTGTTGTTGTTGACTTACTGAAGTGAACTTGAGTATCACATGAATAGCTTCCCCCTTTTATCCTTGCTCCCTCTCTCCTCCACAGCATGCACCTCCCCACCTCCCTACCATACCACCTGGCTCCAAAAAGTGACCCAGTCCGTCAACTCCCAGTGACCCAGCTCCCTCAACTCCCTGTGACCCAGCTCCCTCAACTCCCCCTGACCCAGCTCCCTCAACTCCCAGTGACGCAGCTCCCTCAACTCCCAGTGACCCGGCTCCCTCAACTCCTGGTGACCCAGCTCCCTCAACTCCCAGTGACCCAGCTCCCTCAACTCCCAGTGACCCAGCTCCCATGAGTCCTTACATTTTTGATCAGTCTAAGAGGAATCTTGTCAAAAATGTTGCTGAATCCATGTAGAACACATTAAATGCATTCTCCTCATCAACACTCATGGTTACCCCCTCCAAATATTAGATCAAATTTGTCAAACATGACCTTCTCTTAACAAATTCATGCTGACTAACCTTGATTAATTTGTGTATCTCCTGGTGCAAATATATTCTGGCCCTCAGAATTCATAGAATCATAGACTCCCTACAGGGAATGGCCTGTGGAAACAGGCCATTCAGCCCATCAGGTCCACACTGACCCTCCGAATGGCATCCCACCCAAACCCAACCCCCCCTACCCTATCATCCCACATTCCCCATGGCTAACCCACCTAGCCTACACATCCCTGAACACTATGGCAATTTATCATGGCCAGTCAACCTAACCTGCACATTTTTGGACTGTGGGAGGAAACCAGAGCACCCAGAGGAAACCCACACAGACACCGGGAGAATGTGCAAACTCCACACAGACAGTCACCCGAGCATGAAAGTTGCTTACATACTCGATCATCTTTCTCTTTCTGACTGTTCTCTCTGGCCTATAGTACATACCCAACATTGTATTTGCCCCTTTTATGTTTTTTACTTCTATGAACTGGCCTCTTTTGATCCTTCCAAAATACCCCTCCTCACTGCTATAATTGATTCTTTGATCAAACCAGGAATGTTGACTTGCCCATCCTGCCCATATTTCAGCCAAGTCTCACTCATAGCTATGATATTTATACTCCCATGTGTCTATCTACGCCCTCAACTCATCTGTCTTGTTCCTCAAGCTCTTTGCATTAACATATGTTTTATTTACGTTTGCTAAATTCACTTCTTTCTTATCTAATCTATGTTTTCTCTGCCTTCCAGACTCAGTTACTTGCACTTTAAATTCTAAGAGTTTCTGCCCCTCTGCACTAATTGTTAGAATCCTATCCTTCTGCCGATCGAATTTTAGTTCAGCTGAACAGCATTAGCAAACATTCCTGTGAGGATATTGGTCCCATTCAATAAATACATGTCCCACCTACCCCAAAAATGGTCCTAATGCCTCAGGAATCTTAAAGCCCTTCCTCCCGCACCATCCCTCCAGCCAAGCATTCATCTACTCTATCCATCTATTGCTATATTCACTACTGAGTGGCACTAGGAATGTTCCAGAGATTGCTACCTTTCAAATCCTGCTTTTCAATTTCCTACCTAATTGTCTGATGTCTGGTTACAGGATCTCTTTCTCCTACATCATTTCTCTTTGTTCCTACCTCACTGGTCCCAACATGGACCACAACCCCTGGCTGTTCACCCTCCCTCTTCAGAATGTCCTGTACCCATTCCATGACATTCTTGACCCTGGCACCCGGGAGAGGTACCATCCTGAAGTCATGTCAATTGCCACAGAAATGCCTGTCTACTCCCCTCACTAACAAACCTCTCAGCCTCATGAATATTGCCTTGAGCTGCTGCTCAAGCCTCAAAGCCCAGAGCTTGAGTTACTCCAACCAGAGGCACTTCCTGCTCCCAGGGTCATCGAAACCATCAGGACCATCCAAGATTTCTCCAGAATGAGCAAGAAGTGCAAATCATGGGCCTCCTTCAAAATTAATTTGTGGGATGTGGGCATCACTGGTTAAAGAAGCATTTGATGCCAATCCCCAAATTGCCCAGAGGGCAGTAAAGAGTCAACCACATTGCTATGGGTCTGGAGCCACATGCAGGCCAGACTAGGTAAGGATCACAGATCTCCTTCTCTGAAGGTCATCAGTGAACCAATAATTTTAAACAACAATTGACAGTGGTTACACAGTCACTAGTAGGGCCAGGTTTATAATTCCAGATTTTTATTTAATTCAAATTTCACCATCTGCCCTGGTGGGATTTGAACCTTTGTACCCAGAACATTAAACTGAGGTTATAGATTACTAATCCAGTGAGAATTAGCTTGAGCCCCCAAGTCTTATTTTAATGGAATAGAATATGAACTCTTGCTTTTGTTTTAATCTTGCTCCTACTTGAGTATAAACTAGAAAAATCTAAATCTTGTTTATTTAAGATAAACAATCAACTACTTAACCCTATCAAGTGAAAAAAATTTAGTTTTGAAGCTCTAAAATATTAAAGATGTATGTAAAGTTTTTACATTGTACTCATGGTCTTAACTTAAGCCAACATTCAGTCACAAGAGATGAGAGAAATATCTACTAATTACCTACTTGATTAAAATATGGCTGAGTGGATGCTATTCTGAGCAAGATCCTTAAATTGTTTATTTGATCTAAATTGTTTTGCTACTAATTGTATTGTTTGATCTTCACTATAAATTTTGCTTCTATGTAAACATCTTCCATATCTGTAAACTTAGTTTGGCTTTAGGCTTCTCGCATTCGTTTTGACAGATTGATACTATGGAGTAGTAGAAAGCCATGCAGTGAAAGAGTACTTGCTGGTCATATTGATTGCTCCTTCACTCATTTGTAAGAGAGAAGGTCTCAGGTCTCAGCAATGCGAATGTCTAATTACTGATCCCGTGAGAGGAGAGGTAAGATACATCTTAAACATAGACTTTAATCGAATAGAAATTTCACCACCTGATCCAGTGGGATTTGAACACACACCTCCAGGATATTAGTCTGGCCATCATTCAGATTACTAGGCCAGGTACATAACCACCAATGCCAGCACCAATGCTCTGTAGTGTGGTAACTTAGGCCTATGCCATCTGGAGTTTAGGAAAATGAGAGGAGATATAATTTGAGGTATTTAAGATGCTAAAAGGAGTTGACAAAGTAGACATAGAGCAGATGCTTCCCCTTTTGGGGAAATCTACAATGCGACATCAGAGATTTAGGATAAGGGGTAGCTGATTTAAAATCGAGTTGAGAAGAAATTACTTCTATCAAAGGGTTGTGAATCTGTGAAATTCATTACCCAAAATGCAGTGGACACTGGGACATTGAGTAAATTTAAGGAGATAGATAGATTTTTAATTAGTAATGGGTTAAAGGGTTATGGAGAGCAGGCAGGAGAGAGGAGTTGAGGCTGAAATGAGATTAGCCATGATCATATCAAATGGTGGGGCAGGTTCGAGGGACTGAACTGTCTACTCCTGCTCCTAGATCTTAGGTTACATTCATATGTAACACATTAGAATCGCATGCTCAAAGTTAAACTCACCCTTTGTGTCAAAGTCTGATTTCCAAAAATTAATCTCTGTTTCATCTGTATTCTGATCTAGATGAAAGAGAGAAAAAATAAACAAATCTTGAGTTTCAAGTCAGGTCCTTGAAGAGGAAGATGAGCTGTGATTATTCACAGACAGTGGACTCATGCCCTGTGTCTGGGGAGGACACAATATGGCTCCCACTCTCACTGCCTTAATGAGCCTGTGCTGCAGCAAACCCTCAGGAGGGTCCGGGCCAAGTGACACTTCAACCCAAAACAATGGAGACTCAGGGAGGTCGCATTGGAAACTTTGGAAAGTCTAAGACGAATAAAACCATCAGCAGCTTGAACTATCCCCATTCTCATTTAACAGAACAACCCCTACCAGATGAAGATGTCCTGTCCAATAGCAGAGACCATTAGGACTAAATAGTCCTTTCTATTCTGGAATTTCACTGCTATTCAAAGGATCTATCATCCAGCTCCAGTTTTACAAAAACCAGGAGAGAGCCAGAACTGCCTGGCAACCGATTAAATACAATGATTGAATACTTTTACATACTTTGTGTCTTGAATGATTCTGGGCTGGATCCCCATGGTTGGCTCCCTCTCAGCCCATGTCTTTGACCTTCATAAAAATAAGGGAATCGTTTATACGTCACTTTAATGTCCAATAATTGCACAAACCATATTAAACCTATCTGGACAAAGTTTCGGAATCTCTGTTCCTAATATACATTTCACAAAATTCCAGATCTTGCTCTCATGTATGTCAACTATTAAAATTATTGAGTGTGCCCATTATTTCCTCGACACACATACACAGTGAGTGAGCCTGCTGCAGAATTAGGCTGATGTATAAATCAACTCTTGAGAGACAGAGTCACTTATCAGGGGTTAAAGAGTCCAACTTCCACAAACCGGGATCCTGAGCTCTGTGACCTGCCAATGAACACAGCACAGGGATGACTAGGCTGAAACAAATTATCAATGTCTGCCTAGTTTCCCTGTTATTGTCCTGCTAGTCACATGATATAATGATGAGGAATTGGTGAGTAATCACAGTGATCCCTCTCTGTCAATATGTGACCCAGTGGGGAACTGAGGAAAACCCCAGTGATGAAGACCTTCAGAAGAAAGGGTCACACATCATTTTTCAAGTGACATAGAATTACAGAATTTCCAGCACAGGGAAATAGGCTGTTCAGCCCATTCAGTATTTATGCTTCACCCCACTTTACTTCACTGAACACTATTGTATATCCTTTTCTCCCTCACACACTTCCTCTCAATGTGCTGCTTTGTGGTAGCAAATTCCATAGTCTCCTTTCTCCCAGGATTATTGGATTTGTTTGTGACTATCTTGTATTTAGGAAATAGACCCTTGATTCCACAAGTGGAAATATCTTCTCTGTATCTGATTCAATAGATCATTCAATACGCTCTATTCCCAAAATGTTATTATCTGGAAAAAATTCAATTACGTCACTTTGCAACTGAATGAATGAATACTAACGGCAGATTGTGATCCTCGCACGTTTATGGAGAAAGCAATACCAAATTCATCAAGCTTAGGCAGGTAAGTCAAAGGTCAAACAACCAGACCAAGGTCTACTCCCTGAGTTGTGCTGCCAGGATGTATATGTCCTGGTGAATTGTCCTCCAGGATTTCAGTGCCATATCAATGGGCAAACAGGAAAAGAAACCAATCAACATGTTGTTAATCTCAACTACCTGTGGAAGGTAACCATGTTCCAACCTCTGAGATACTCCAGTGAGTGATTAACATTATAACTTCAATGTCATCATCTTACTTTTATATTCAATGTGTCAGCTATAGCCCAGTGGCTGCACTCCCTTTCTATTCAAGTAAAAGGAGGAAAGTATGAAGTGTGGCCCATTCATAGCTCCCCGCTCCAAGGTACAATTGGCTCTTTTTAATAATTGTACTGTATCTAGAATCCAACCATTGGCCCTTGATATTCAACAGTATTTGCATCACTGAATTCCCACTATCAACATTCTGGGAGTTATCATTGATCAGGAATTCAACTGGACTGACCACATAAACAATAGCTACAAGAACAGGTCAGAGGCTTGGAGTACTCACCTCCTGACTCCCCAAAGCCTGTCCACTATCTATAAGGCACATGTCAGGAGTGTGATGGAATACTCCCCAATTGCCTGGATGAGTGCAGCCCCAACAACATTCAAGAAGCTTGACACCATCCAGGACAAAACAGCCCGCTTGATGGCACCACATCCACAAGCATACTCTCCCTCCAGCACCGACGCTCAGTAGCAGCAGTGTGTACTATCTACAAGATGCACTGCAGAAATTCACCAAAGATCCTCAGACAGCACCTTCCAAACCCACTTCCATCTAGGACAGGGGCAGCAGATATATGGGAACACCACCACCTCCAAGTTCCCCTCCAAGTCAGTCACCATCCTGACTTGGAAATATATCACCGTTCCTTCACTGTCGCTGGGTCAAAATTCTGGAATTTCCTTCCTAATGGCATTGTGGGTCAACCCACAGCAGGAGGGCTGCAGCAGTTCAAGAAGGCAGCTCAGCACCACTTTCTCAAGGGCAACTAGGGATGGGCAAGAAATGCTGGGCAGCCAGCAATGCCCACATCCCATAAATGAATAAATTTTAAAAATCTAGAAGAAAGGAAAGATCAAAGTGTACTCACTGCTCTCCCCGAAGCTGAGAGCCCATTTCTCGTAGTCCGATAATCCAGGCTTGGAATTGTAACCTGGGGAGCAGAAGCTCACTTTAAATGCAGCAATGATTGCACAAACCATAATATTACATGTGGGAGTGTGAAGTTAGGCAGCCCATTCTGCACATGGGCTTGATGCAGATCGACATGTGTCTCCACAAATCCTACTCACCAGCACTGAACTTCCACCCAGGGTGGGGATCAAGAAACACTATCTCACAACACTCGGAAATCAAGGGCGGATCCCATTGGGAGCTGCCTACAGACATCACTTTCTCCAAAATGGACACATTTACTGGAATCGTACCGGAGCTGAGGGATTGGAGAAGATGGGATCGCTCCCCTCACATCAGGGAAGGCAGGGTGGGTATTGAGGGGTATTTGCAGAGTAAATGAGAAGAGGTCACAGGCAGGAGGTTATTAGTAAAGGAATCAGAGGGAGAAGCAGAGAAGTAATTTTGTACAGTTATTGGGATCTGGAATGCCTTACCTCGAAATGGTGTTGGGAGTAAACGCCGTAATAATGTTCAAAAGGGAATTAGATAAATACCTGAACAGGAAGTGTTTACAGGCAAAAGAGTAGGAGCTTGGAAGGAATTAAATAGCTGTACCAATGGGCTGGAGCAGTCATAATGGGCTGAATAGTCTCACTCTGTGATGTCTAAATTAGAGCCTGGGATTTGGTGAGATATCCTGTGGACCTGTGCTGTATCTTAGGCTGGAACTTGGGACGCGAGGAATTCCAGACTCTGTCGCTGTTCCCCTCCCTCCCCAGACTGTATGCAGGGGAGGGGGAGGGGGAGGCAGTTTGCATGCTTGAGGTGTGCCTGACCTGGGCTGTCGTAGGTCTCCATGTCTGTCCAGGCGTACACAGGGTCAGTCGCGAGCTCACCGTTAGCTGTTGCAAATACAGAAAAGCATCAGTGGTTGAAACTGCACCCTTCTGCTATTGACCACGTCACAATATAAACCAACAACATTTAAGACAAATGGCCCCAACAGACCAAGCTGCCCCAGCCCTCATTGCCACCCTACAATCAGTTGAAACACAAACCTGTGGGAAAATACATGGAAAAAGAAGGTTCCCACTGCAGTTATAATGAAGTGACTCACTGTTTGCTCCACTGAAATGGAACCAATTGTTTTGCATCTCACACACACAATAATCCACAAATTGCAAAATCACTACACAGCTACATCCAAATATTGCTCGTAAGAATTAATTAGGATTCTGAACATGCAAACATTTTTCAAATCTTGTTATTTTCTCGGTAACAGTAATCTCTGATTTATCTGCTACATCTGGCATCTCCTTACAATGTCTGAGCTAACCAGCCCCCTGAGGCTGGTTTGCAATAGAGTGATACCAACATTGCCAGTTCAATTCCTGCTCTAGCTGAGGCTACCGTAATGGACTCCCCTTCTCAATCTCTCCACTCACCTGAGGCATGGTGACCCTCAGGTTAAACCGCCATCAGTTTGTCTCTCTCTCTTTCTCTCTCTGTCTTTCTCTCTAGTGAGAGCAGCCCCATGGTCCCCTGGGACTATGGTGACATTGACTTTATCTATAACAATTATGAACTGGTCTGCAATCAGTGAATCAAGTTTTTGAAGAAAAATTGTGAAAGTGTAGAATTTTTATAAGAAGGAGAGACTTGTCTTTCTACAGTGCCTTTTCTGATCTCACTCACTCCCGAAATGCTTTATAACCAATAAGATTTACTGCTGCAGTGTAGGTCAGTTTGACAAGGATCAGCCTGAACTGTGATGTTCTCCCTGGTGAAATAGCCCACCTGGCTTCCCTGACTGATGACCCTACGGCGTGAGATGATGAGACTGAGGCCCCTGCCAAAAGGTCAATGAGGATGCACTCAATAAGGGATGGTGGAGAATAGGAATATCAGCTTGCTGGCCGAATCAGCCAGTCAGAGCTTGGCTGTGCCCTGTGTCTTGTGAAACCTGGAGGTAAGAGTCACACGTCCTAATGGGGTGCCTTAGTCAACCACAGAACCTGTAACTGGCGCTTCTGTGGAATACAGCACTCACACACAGGCACTCACATTGACACTGACACACACACACAGAGACACTCACATTGACACTGACACACACACACACACACACACACACAGACACTCACATTGACACTGACACACACACACAGACACTCACATTGACACTGACACACGCACACACACACACAGACACTCACATTGACACTGACACACACACACACA